TCCAGGTTCCTGATGTCAGTTTGTAGGGCTCCTCTGGAACTGTCAGGGCAGCAGAAGTAGGAGGTGGAGGCAGCTCCTGTATGGGACTTATCCTTCGATGTTCGGATTTTTTGCAATCAGCTGCCTGCTCAGAGCCACTGGGCCCTGAGCACAAATATCGGCTGTTTTCCCTGGGAAAGAAAACTCACCAGCCCTGGTTCCTGATGTCAGTTTGTAGGGCTCCTCGGGGACTGTCTGGGCAGCAATAATATAAGGTGGTGGCAGATTCTCTATAGGGCCCATCCTTCGATATTCAGATTTTTTGCAGTCAGCTCCCCGCTAAGGGGCACAGGGCCTTGGCAAAAACATTGGTTGTTTTCCCTGGGAAAGAAAACTCACCAGTCCCGGTTCCTGATGTCAGTTTGTAGGGCTCCTCTGGGACTGTCAGGGCAACACAATTATGAGGTGGGGGCAGCTCCGGTCTGGGATTTATCCTTCGATGTTCGGATTTTTGCAGTCAGCTGCCGGCTCAGAGCCACAGGGCCCTGAGCAGAAACATCGGCTTTGTTCCGTGGGAAAGAAAACTCACCAGCCCAGTTCCTGATGTCAGTTTGTAGGGCTCCCCTGGGACTGTCAGGGCAGCACAAGTATGAGGTGGAGGCAGCTTTAGTATAGGTCCCATCCTTCGATATTTGTATTTTTGCAATCAGCGGCCTGCTCAGGGCCACAGGACCGTGAGCAGTAACATCGGCTGTTTTCCCTGGAAAAGAAAACTCACCAGTCCAGGTTCCTGATGTCAGTTTGTAGGGCTCCTCAGGGACTGTCACGGCAGCACAAGTATGAGGTGGAGGCAGCTTCTGTATGGGGCCCATCCATCGATATTCGGATTTTTTACAATCAGCAGCCGGCTCAGGGCCACAGGACCCTGACCAGAAACATCGGCTATTTTCCGTGGGAAAGCAAATTCACCAGCCCCGGTTCCTGATGTCAGTTTGTAGGGCTCCCCTGGGACTGTCAGAGCAGCACAAGTATGAGGTGGGGGCAGCATTTGTATAGGTCCCATCCTTCGATATTTGTATTTTTGCAATCAGCTGCCTGCTCAGGGCCACAGGAATCTGAGCAGAAACATCGTCTGTTTTCCCGTGGAACGAAATCTTACCAAGTCCAGGTTCCGGATGTCAGTTTGTGGGGATCGTCTAGGACTGTCAGGGCAGCACAAATATGAGGTGGAGGCAGCTTCTGTATTGGGCTCAGCCCTTGATATTTGGATTTTTTGCAATCAGCTGCCTGCTCAGGGCTACAGGACCCTGAGCATAAACATCGGCTGTTTTCCCTGGGAAAGAAAACTCACCGGTCCAGGTTCCTGATGTCAGATTGTAGGGCTCCCCTTGGACTGTCAAGGCAGCACAAGTATGAGGTGGAGGCAGCTCCTGTATGGGACTTATTCTTCTATGTTCGTATTTTTTGCAATCAGCTGCTGGCTCAGAGCCACAGGGCCCTGAGCAGGAACATCAGCTGTTTTCCCTGGGAAAGAAAACTCACCAGTCCAGGTTCCTGATGTCAGTTTGTAGGGCTCCTCTGGGACTGTCAGGGCAGCACAAGTATGAGGTGGTGGCAGCTTCTGTTTGGGGCCCATCCTTCGATGTTCGGATTTTTTACAATCAGCTCTCTGCTCAGGGCCACAGGACTATGAGCACAAACATTGGCTGTTTTCCCTGGGATAGAAAACTCACCAGTCCAGGTTCCTGATGTCAGTTTGTAGGGCTCCTCTGGGACTGTCAGGGCAGCACAAATATGAGGTGGAGGCAGCTTCTGTATTGGGCTCAGCCCTCGATGTTTGGATTTTTTGCAATCAGCTGCCTGCTCAGGGCCACAGGACCCTGAGCAGAAACATCAGCTGTTTTCCCTGGGAAAGAAAACTCACCAGTCCAGGTTCCTGATGTCAGTTTGTAGGGCTCCCCTGGGACTGTCAGGGCAGCACAAGTATGAGGTGGGGACGGCTCCCGTCTGGGACTTATGCTTCGATGTTCGGATTTTTTGCAATCAGCTGCCGGCTCAGAGCCACAGGGCCCTGAGCAGAAACATCGGCTGTTTTCCCTGGGAAAGAAAACTCACGAGTCCAGGTTCCTGATGTCAGTTTGTACGGTTCCTCTGGGACTGTCAGGGCAGCACAAGTATGAGGTGGAGGCAGCTCCTCTATGGGGCCCATCCTTCGATGTTCGGATTTTTTGCAATAGCTGCCTGCTCAGGGCCAAAGGATCCTGAGCATAAACATCGGCTGTTTTCCCTGGAAAAGAAAACTCACCAGTCCAGGTTCCTGATTTCAGTTTGTAGGGCTCCTCAGGGACTGTCACGGCAGCACGAGTATGAGGTGGAGGCAGCTCCTGTATGGGGCCCATCCTTCGATATTCGGATTTTTTGCAGTAAGCTGCCGGCTCAGACCCACAGGGCCCTGAGCAAAAACATCGGCTTTTTTCCCTGGGAAAGAAAACTCACCAGTCCAGGTTCCTGATGTCAGTTTGTAGGGCTCCTCTGGGAATGTCAGGGCAGCACAAGTATGAGGTGGAGGCAGCTTCTGTATGGGGCCCATCCTTCGATGTTCGGATTTTTTGCAATCACCTGCCTGCTCAGGGCCACAGGACCCTGAGCAGAAACATCGGCTATTTTCCCTGGGAAAGAAAACTTACCTAGTCCAGGTTCCCGATGTCAGTTTGTAGGGCTCCTCTGGGACTGTCAGGGCAGAACAAATATGAGGTGGGGGCAGCTCCGGTCTGGGACTTATCCTTCGTTGTTCGGATTTTTTGAAGTAAGCTTCCCGGTCAGGGTCACAGGGCCCTGTGCAAAAACATTGGTTGTTTTCCCTGGGAAAGAAAACTCACCAGTCCAGGTTCCTGATGTCAGCTTGTAGGGCTCCTCTGGGACTGTCAGGGCAGCACAGGTATGAGGTGGAGGCAGATTCTGTATGGGTACCATCCTTCGATGTTCGGATTTTTTGCAATCACCTGCCGGCTCAGGGCCACAGGGCCCTGAGCAAAAACATCGGCTGTTTTCCCTGGGAAAGAAAACTCACCAGCCCCGGTTCCTGCTTTTCCAGCGTGTCTCGCAGGGAGACAGCTTGCCGGCACAGTGCACGCATCCTGCCCTTCCCCAGAAACATGGATCTGCTGAACACTCCAAGACCACTACTCTTTCCTAGGCAAACTTCAAATTTCTGTAAGACGTCCGTGCTCTCTGTTTTCTGCTGCCCTGCTCGTTGTAGAAGAGTGCACAGCTCACCCTGGCATTCAGTGAACAGCGAAGTCAACTGCAAAATACCAGCAGCCGCTCACTCCCAAACACAAGGCGCTGTCTATGTCCTTGCTTCCGGAGCAACTCAGCACAGCCCTTCTTTTCTGCAGCTGACATCGAGTTCTCTGTAACTCGAAAGCTCAGGGTACGAACAAGAATTCTCCAGATTCGTCTGCATCAGGACAAAGTCAAAACCCAGGAAAGTCGTCCTGGTGCACCTGCCAGAAGCATGCCAGCGGTGAACTGAAAGGGCAGGCAGCTGCAGCCACCGTCCACTAGCAGTGCCAAGGCTGCGCACACAAGCCGGTTTCGTTCTTCGCCTCTCAGAAGCCAAGCGCTCTCTCCGGCTGCCGGAGGCGAAGAAGCGGCTACTAGGTGCACCGCTGACGTGAACCGCACTTGTAGGCTGCAAAGCGCGGCTTCGGCAGAAAGACGCCGGCAACCTCCGCTTCCCTGCGGACAGCTGCGGCGAGCCGAAGTCTGCGTCTCTACCAGACTGCATCATGGCGAAAAGCTTTTCCAGCGTGTCTCGTAGGGAGAAAGGTTGCCAGCACAGTGCACGCATCCCGCCCTTGCCCAGAAACATGGATTTGCTGAACTCTGCAAAAACACTACTCTTTCCTAGGCAAGCTTCAAACTGCTGTCAGACGTCCGTGCTCTCTGTTTTCTGCTGCCCTGCTCGTTGTAGAAGAGTGCACAGCTCACCCTGACATTCAGTGCACAGCGAAGTCAACTGCAAAAAACCAGCAGCTGCTCACTCCCAAACACAAGGCGCTGTCTATGTCCTTGCTTCCGGAGCAACTCAGCACAGCCCTTCTTTTCTGCAGCTGACATCGAGTTCTCTGCAACTCGGAAGCTCAGGGTACGAACAAGAATTCTCCAGATTCGTCTGCATCAGGACAAAGTCAAAACCCAGGAAAGTCGTCCTGGAACACCTGCCAGAAGCATGCCAGCGGTGAACTGAAAGGGCAGGCAGCTGCAGCCACTGTCCTCTAGCAGCGCCAAGGCTGCGCACACAAGCCGGTTTCGTTCTTCGCCTCTCAGAAGCCACCCGCTCTCACCGGCTGCCGGAGGCGAAGAAGCGGCTACTAGGTGCACCGCTGACGTGAACCGCACTTGTAGGCTGCAAAGCGCGGCTTCGGCAGAAAGACGCCGGCAACCTCCGCTTCCCTGCGGACAGCTGCGGCGAGCCGAAGTCTGCGTCTCTATCGGACTGCATCATGGCGAAAAGCTTTTCCAGCGTGTCTCGCAGGGAGAAAGCTTGCCAGCACAGTGCAGGCATCCCGCTCTTGCCCAGAAACATGGATCTGCTGAACACTGCAAAAACACTGCTCTTTCCTAGGCAAGCTTCAAACTGCTGTAAGACGTCCGTGCTCTCTGTTTTCTGCTGCCCTGCTCGTTGTAGAAGAGTGCACAGCTCGCCCTGACATTAAGTACACAGCGAAGTCAACTGCAAAAAACCAGCAGCTGCTCACTCCCAAACACAAGGCGCTGTCTATGTCCTTGCTTCCGGAGCAACTCAGCACAGCCCTTCTTTTCTGCAGCTGCCATCGAGTTCTCTGCATCTCGGAAGCTCAGGGCACGAACAAGAATTCTCCAGATTCGTCTGCATCAGGACCAAGTCAAAACCCAGGAAACTCTTCCTGAAACACCTGCCAGAAGCATGCCAGAGGTGAACTGAAAGGGCAGGCAGCTGCAGCCACCGTCCTCTAGCAGTGCCAAGGCTGCGCACACAAGCCGGTTTCGTTCTTCACCTCTCAGAAGCCAACCGCTCTCCCCGGCTGCCGGAGGCGAAGAAGCGGCTACTAGGTGCACCCCTGACGTGAACCGCACTTGTAGGCTGCAAAGCGCGGCTTCTGCAGAAAGACGCCGGCAACCACCGCTTCCCTGCGGACAGCTGCGGAGAGCCGGAGTCTGCGTCTCTAGCGGACTGCATCATGGCGAAAAGCTGTTCCAGCGTGTCTCGCAGGGAGAAAGCTTGCCAGCACAGTGCACGTATCCCGCTCTTTTCAGAAACATGCATTTGCTGAACACTTCAAAAAACACTACTTTTTCCTAGGCAAGCTTCAAACTGCTGTCAGACGTCTGTGCTCTCTGTTTTCTGCTGCCCAGCTCGTTGCACTAGAGTGCACAGCCCACCCTGGCATTCAGTGCACAGTGAAGGCAATTGCAAAAAACCAGCAGCTGCTCACTGCTATACTCAAGGCGCTGTCTGTGTCCTTGCTTCCCGAGCAACTCAGCGCAGCCCGTCTATTCTGCAGCTGCCATCGTTTTCTCTGCATCTCCGAAGCTCAAGGCACGAACAGGGTTTGTTGGCTGCAGAAGAATTTTTAGGTTCACTTGTGGCAATTTTCCTTGGCATGGGTCTCCTCAGTGGATCTATCTGATATAAGCACCTTTTTGCCATAACTTGATTATCATAAGACATTGTTTTTAACTTTAATTTCCTTATTTTTTTATACCCTTTTGGTCAGAACACTTTTTTAAAGGCAAATGAGTATTTGTTAAACTTTTTTTTTTTTTAGATCATACAACACTTTAAACTTGATGGAAAATCTGAAACTCTTATACAGAACAGCAGGACTGCAAGGCAAAGGCACCTGTTTTCTTTTTATAGACATTGAGATCAAAGATGAGTCTTTCTTAGAATACTTGAACATTGTCATCAGGGGAGGTAAGATGGTCAATTTTCCGCTTTTTAAAATTCATAATTTTGAGGTAAAATAACATAATTTATTTGAATATTTTGTTATAAGTTGAAGAGTACACTTCCAAAAATTAGAACTCAAGTGCTTTTTGTCATTAGAGTAGTATTAAAAATGAATGCCTTCTACGAAATCTACAAAATCCTAGGTCAGACCAAGAGAAGCTATCTCAAGGGACATGAGAACAGCTTTTAAAAAAAAAAAAAAAACAACTGAGACTTGAGAAATATTACTGATGTTTGCAAAAGTTGTCTGTTAAATTTACTATTAGTATACGGTTCGTTTTTGTATGGTAAATTTATGTCCAGAATTGATGGGGTTTATTGATTTTATTTACTTTTTATTATTTCAGGGTTATGTTTCAGAGTAATTACTACTAGTTATTAGAATATAAAGATAAGGAAGGAAAGCTATTGGAGGGTGGCATTTAAAATTTACAGCAAGTTACATTTCAGTCTATTTAATGGAATAACTTCATGGAATAACTTAAAACTACTTGTTAAAGAAGCTGGGGGGGTACTAATAACTTCATTGTCTGAGATTTGTGTCCCTTCCTACAATAATATGTATTAAAAGAACCTCATGATGTATCCTCTATTTTGGATCATCTCAAGAAGCATGAAAAATCTTCCTTCTTCCCAAAGGTGTCAAACTTATTTGCATATGATGAAGTAGATGAGATCATTAGTGACCTCATTCCCTCCTTCAAAAAGGAGCATCCACAAAGACCTCCAACCAGTGAAGCTCTGTATGACTCTTTCATGGCCAGAGTCCATCAGAAGCTTCACGTAGTTCTTTGCTTTTCACCAGTAGGTGAAAAATTCTGAAATAGGGCCCTGAAGTTCCCTGCTCTCATTTCTGGATGCACTATAGATTGGTTCAGCTGATGGCCTAAGGATGCTCTGGTGGCAGGCATGTATAGGTTTTTTTCTTTGCAGACACATAATTTTCTTATCAGTGGTCATGTAGCTGTTTTAATTGTGTTGAATTTTAACAAAATAAATCCTTGATTCTAATATTTGATGTAGACATTTTCTTCTTTAAAGACTGTTTTATTAAGCTGTTGAAATATTTCTAACAGAGGAATGGTTTTGAACACAGTTTAAAAAAAATTCCCCATGAAGATGTCTTAAAAGTATTTGTAAAGAAGGCAAATAAACTAAAGAAAGAGATTATTTATGAATATGTCTGTGATAGGGCATACAGAGGAATGCTGTGGTTACCCAGTCCTTGGTAGGTAGCAGCTAGGTTCAGCGTGAAAAAGCAGTTGCACACTTTGGCGATGAAGAATGGCAGATCCTTGGCTGTACTTTTTACTGACAAGTGTGGAGTAATATTCAGAATCTGACTGTGAAGCGTAAAGAAGACTGAGTTTTCAGGAGCTGGGTGAAAGCTAAGATACTTCATGCTGACTTGTTTTATAGTGACTTGTTTATAAGCTAAGATGTTTTTGTAAATATTTACTAACATTTAGGCTTTCTTTCTTTCCTAAGTGTTTGAACACTTCCTGTCCTCATTTGATATGGACTGCACTGCTGATACAAAGATGGAAATTGTGCAGTGTATGGGCTCATTCCAGGATGGAGTGGCAGAAAAATGTTCTGATTACTTTCAAAGATACAGACGTTCTACACATGTGACTCCCAAATCCTACCTGATTTTTATTCAGGGATATAAAACCACATACAAAGAAAAGCATGCTGAAATGCAAATATTATCAAACAGGTAGACTACTCAGGTTACTTCTGTTTTTCTGTAGTTTTCTTCCCCAGGTAGCATATTCTGATAAGTTTCATTTCGATGCATGGCTTGTCTCCTCACACAGAAAAAAAAAAAAAAAAAAAAAAAAAAAAAAAAAAAGTAAAGTATTTTTAATTCCTAAAATTATGTGAAGTTGTAACTTATTCAAATATTGTAGTTGCTCTAGTCATATAAGATAAAGACTACATATATTTGGGGGGGCAGGGGAGAAGAGTAGTGATGCATGAAAAATAGAGGTAGAGGGACTAGGAGGTGAATATAAATGATACCCATATGTTTCTAAAGAGTAAAAGAAGGCATCTACATGTAATTTTATATTATATTGATAATAGCATTTAATTTGTCAGGTGGCAAATTTTGTTTCCTAAGTGGACACTTGTAACCGCCTGTTATGAATATGTAAGGAATGTCCTAAGTGGTTTTGTGAGCACAGAGCCTTACTTAGACTCCTGAGCTTTTTAATCGTGCATTATTAAGGTGGTTTTGATATACTTATTTCTATTTTCAGATGTTTTATTAAAGTAATGATATCTATTTGCTGATATATCTTCATGTCAGGAGCACCCAGCTGTAATGTAAAATTAGCAATCAGTGCATCAGTTGGTATTACCCTTAAGAAAAACTGCCTTTTCAGTTTTGAAAGATTATCAAAAAGAACTAGAAACCTTAAAGAAAGGCTTAAACTTGTTTATTTGGCTTTGAAACATTCTTTGTCTTCAAAGTCAAATTGAGTTTGAAACCTGTAGTTATGTTAGGGGTGAAGACTTGTACAACAGAAGGGTGTTGCCCTGTTTTCTACCTTCAGATTTACCAAGTTAGTTCACGGAGTCCAATTTCTTCCACTTAAACTTATTTGCACTGTCTGAATTTGTCAGCAGTTACACTTTGTCTGTTCTCCTGTATTTGTTCAGCTGTCCAAGTACTGCATAGCCTTCACAACAGCAGTCTCTCTAGAGGCCTTGTAAGCTGTCTGAAAGGTCCCGGGTGAAGAATTTCTGATTAAAAAAAAGCACTGTTGAAGGGGCATTTTAATGCTGAATCAGAGAGGTCTTATCTCAATACTATTTATCATTTCCTCTCTTTTGTTTGGTCTTGGTTTCTTTTCAGTTTCCATTTCAAATAAGAAATATTGATTGGTTATAATTTTCAGAATTTCGGTGATCAGAAAATGCTTTCTGCTGTATGGAACTCAGTTCTTTGATTATTGGCTCAAGAGGGACAGTGAGTAACATTTCTAGAATAACACATAGGATTTTTATGCAATGATAAAGGCATACTGTTTGATCAGAGGCAGGTAAAATTTCAAGCCACAAATTTTATTAATGTACTTTATTGTCCACTTTATTGATTCTGAAGATATCAGAAATGTAAAATTCCTGTCCAAGTTTTATTTTTGGTGTAAAACATAACTTGCAATTGTTCATTCTGATCAATATGATTTATTCTATAGATGGAAAGCAGAGTGTAAATTACATAGTGAATGAGATGCTTTTTATTTTGCTTTTTAACTTCAGAATAAATACTGGTCTGGAAAAATTGAAAGAGGCCTCTGAGTCAGTGGCTGCTCTAAGCAGAGAACTGGAGGTAAAAGAAAAGGAACTTCAAATTGACAATGGAAAAGCTGACATGGTATGTACAGCCTTCAAAGTGTATTGTTGTGTCGGAACTCAAAATGTCCCTCAGACATTTTTAGAGGTTCCAGGCCTTGGTCAGAAGCATTTTAGACCCTGGCAAGCAGCAGAAAACAGCTGTGATCTTGAGTTTGAACCATGGAATGAATTACCAACTTTGAAGGTGGAATAAGCGGTCACAGAGAGTTAGATGGTATAGTAAAAGTAGTCACAAATTAGAAGGTAAAATTTTTTAGTATTGTACAGGGGGGTTTTAACACCTGTACAGGGGGGTTTTACTTTGTACAGGGGGGTCAGGAGTTCTAAGATGGAGGAAAGTGGGCCTGATCCTTTTCTTCCTCCTTCTTCTTCCTTACCTCCATGTTCTTGGTGATGTTGGCATTTTTCTATTGGTTTAGGCTGGGGACACACTGTTCAACGTAGATGATAGATATTGGCACATTATTGTAAATTTAGTACACGTAATTTCTGGTATATAATGTTTGTACCATCCCACTGAAGAGCAGAGCCCCGCACACTGCCCTGCAGGACAGAGCTGCGGCAGGGCAGCAGAACTTGTTACAGATAAGCAAAAATAAACAACCTTGAAAACAGCACAGACGAACTATGGCTTCTTCTTTGGCAACGGGGCAGAAAGACAGAGACTTTCTACAATCTCGGAATCACCAATACCCACAGATTCCGACATTGTTGTTTGATTTTTTTTTTCCTTCTTTTATTTATTCTATTTTGAAAAGATGAATCAATTAAAATGAAGTTAATTGTTGGAAAGAAAGGATCTTGGAGAAAATGATGTTATTTGAGTTTTCTGAAATTGGAGAGATATGATTTTACAACAAAAACTTTTAACTACGGCATGTGGGTTTTCTTACATTCTAGGTATTTGAAAGAAGTTCCCGTAAAAACACAGGCTGGTGAGAATGTGAAGGGTGATGTTCAGAAAGTGAAAGACAAAGCCCAAGCTATTGTAGACAGTATCACAGTTGACAAAGCCATTGCTGAAGAGAAGCTGGAAGCTGCCAAACCTGCTTTGGAAGAGGCAGAAGCAGCCTTACAGGTTAGTACTTGGACCATGTATAACATTTCCACTAAGAAGGTGGATGTCAGAAATACAAAATTGCAGGTGCACTGCATAACTCTTCACTTGATAGAAAATAAATATATGGATTTTGAGGCTTTTTAGGCTCAGTTTTGTTTTTCTTTTTTCACATGAGTACCAACCCCAAAATAGTCCCTTTTCAGAGAAGGGCAAGTTTTAACTTTCTTTGAAACTGTAATTGAATATAGCATGTGCCACAGGTTAGACTAGTAACTGAAAATTGATACTATCATTAAACAGCATGTGTGTAATGAGTAAAGTGCTGTCCATGTAAAATCAGTTGTAATTCCATCCAAATCCAAACCTTCTATTTTAAGTTTTCACAAAGAAATTGCATTTTCAATAGGTTTTCTGCTCTACTATTTTCTGTCTTTAAAAAAAAATATTTTCTTAGGGGTTGTAGCATTATCAAGACTTAATTTCCTTCACCATACTTTTCTTGTACAGCTTTTTAAATAGAATTTCCATATATTTAAGATAAAAAAATTAATATTTGTTGATCTTGCATAATATTTATCTTTGTCTGCTCAGCTGACTTTATAGGAGGATGTGCCTCAAGACATTTTACCGTGAGTAGTACTAGTGGAATCTGAAATACACCTGTTAGACGCTAGCAAGGAGCTCACATCTCAAGAAATGGAAAAGTATGAAGATGGTAGCAAGGAGCTCACATCTCAAGAAATGGAAAAGTATGAAGTAAAAACCTGAAGGACAGACAAATCTCAAAGGGTTTTATGTAGATTTGCTGGAAATTATACCTTTCCATTTGAGAGGCTTGTTGTGATGGTTAAAGAATGGCATGATTAGCTTTAAAATCTAGTGTAGAAGAATTTTTATGGCTCTTCTGAATGTAAGACTTCATTTTGAGTGAGAGATGTTTAATAGCCTCTAACTGCCATGATGCTTAAAGGGTAGAGTGCAAAAGTCTAAATGAAGGTGGATGACCTGACAGCTGGAGAAGGTGTGTATCATAGGACCTTGATATGTAGCCACAGGAAAAAGGTTAAAGAGCTAGCAACAACAAAACAGCAAACCTGGTAGTGGGCAAGCATTCTGACAAGTGAAAAATAAGCAATGTGAATTAGTCAGCATCTGCAGTATAAAAAGGGTACCAGTATGCTGGGTCTGGACCTGTATCTTATTAAAGGTTACTTTCTGCTTTTGACTAAAATGGCTGAACCAAAACAATACTGCTCTTCTAGAAATGCAGGGTGCTAATAATTGAAAACCTGAGTTCAAGAAAAAGTGAAGCTGGCATTATTGTAAAACTTCTCAATGGGAAAAAGTATTTGGGCTTAATCTTAAAATTTTTGACTTTTCTATAATAAATTGCTTTGCTTATGTCTAAAGGGGGAAGGCAAACTGTCATAAAAAGCAATCTAGCAGAATGTGTCTATGTATTCTCAGCATGCATTTATTCATTCATTCATTCATTCATTCATTCATTCATTCATTCATTCACTCCTTTAAGCAAGAATCTTCTCTGTATGGGTCTGCACTTTTCAAAAATGAATCTCATAATCATTATGGATTTGCAAATTTGAGCTAGGGATTCCTATAGCAGAATTCTGGTTGCAGAGTAAGTAAATGCCTATTAAAATATTTGGTAAATAGAAAGGTCATTACCCAGATGAAAAAAAAGTGATTAGCTATTTTACTCAATTTTTTAGCATCTTTTAAGAATGATAAATGCTACATTAAGAGAAAGGTAGGTACCTTATAAGCATTTCTAAACATATAGTGAGATTAGTTTTTTAAAGTTTGAGTAAGAATTGTCAGAGTTCAGTAAAACTTTGTAGCACTTTGCCCTGTAATAAATATAGCACATTAAATGCAGAACTATAGACAAATAAATAAATGAATAAAATTTAAATGTAACTAACAATTTTGGCACGATTTGTATTTAAGCAAAAAAAAAAAAAAAAAAAAAAAAAAGGCTGAGCTGAATTTCCTAACTGTCACAAAGAAACACTCGGCAAAGTTTTCACACAGATATCTGGAAAATCTCTGATGAATTATTTCGTGCACAGTGACCCAACAAGCAGCAAAATATTGAAGGGAAACAAAGGGCTGGGAGAGGGAAGGCGATCTGGATGGTCTGCAGTGTAATTAAAATCTGCCTCTGTGGATTCCCAGTGAGGCATGTGCTAGGCTAGAAGCAAGATGTCATGACACTGACAGGAATCTGTTGCTTACTGTTTGTGCTGTCGTGTACTTGGACTTATTAAGCTGCCTGTAAATAAGCAAAACAACTGCTCAGAGTTGTGTGTGTAGCGGGACAGGTCTGCCCATCAGCTGTTCCCATTGTTCAGTGGTTTTATTGCTTTGTATGTGGTGCAGTAAACACTGCTGCTCAAATTGAGTCTTCTCCAAGGAGACATCTTCAGCAGACTTTTCTGTGTTTTCTGATTCATGATGTAGAGTTACGAGTTACAGTGTTATACTTGCACCCTAGGCCTATTTAGCCTTACTTGTTAGGGCCTAGGTTTTAATACCTTATTATAATATATTTTTCTACGGCTTCCTTCTATGCCAGGAATATTCCTGGTAAGATGTACTAGGAGATACAAACATATAGATATACCAGGCCTTCTCACTGGTTTCCTTAATTTACCTTCATTTGCTGGATGTCAACAAAAAGTATTTTCTTTCTAGATACAGTTTCTGGTCAATATGTTCACATTTAAAAAACAAGTAAAATTTCAAGATATTTCTGATTTGCTCTTTTTTATTGTCAAAACAGCTCATGGTAATTTTGAGCTTTAAGGTGTGGAGATGCTGTGCTGAGGTTTCCTAGGAGTTGATAGGAGTAAGTAGTGAAAATCTGATTGGGGGAGGTCCTTCTAGCTTAATGCTTTTTAGAGGTAAAAATAGCATATATATTTTTTTTTCTCCCATTGCTTAAGTTCACCATTAAGTTGGTGAACTTATGCCCCATGTTTTATTAACTAAACAGTAACTGCTTTGCCCTTTGTTTCAATTCCTAGACAATAAAACCTGCAGATATTGCCACAGTGGGCACACTTGGTCAATCTCCTCACCTCATCATGTGTATTATGGTCTGCGTGCTGCTGCTCTTCCTGCGTAAAGTTAACCACGTGAAAATTGATCAGGAAAAACGCTGTACTGTCCCATTGTGGCAAGAGTTGCTGAAGCTGATGACAACAGGGAACTTCTTACAGAGTGTACAGGTGCTTGTGCAACCTTTTCCTTATTTTTTAAGGGACAATGTTTTCCCTGGTGCTCGTAGGAGAACAAATGTGCAAGGGAAATCACACAATAGATCTGAAATGATAAGGACTTAAGAATAAATATGTCAGGATGAAATAAACTTTAATCCTTCTTAAAAAGTCATGTTATAAATCAACTATAAATCAACTATAATTTTTACTAAGTAAGGCAATACATTTGTTTTAGGTGACAAATGACTCAAAGCTTGAAGCATTTGGTTTTGATAGGCATTACTTATTTGCTTTATTAAAGCTGATAAAAACCATATTTTTTTTCTGGTTTAACTTTTCATTAATTTTCAACATTTCAACATTTGGAAAAGCATAGATGGTTATTAGGATGAACACAACCACAATCCCAGCTTTTAAAATTTGGGATTTTTTTGGTTCACAGGATTTGTCTAGGGAAATGGAAAGACTAACTAACTGGTAAACAAATCCTTTTTCATAACTAAAACAAATAATATTATGATTTATCTATTTGGAATAAATGGTATATCTCCCTGCTCCACTGAGTGTTATCATCCCTGATTTCTGCATTTTGAGTTTACTTAATTTGTCACTGGTCT